TTTACTTGCCATAGATTGCTTTGTTTTAATTACCTGAGGCAGACAGAAATGGTCCAATGGTCCCGACGATCAATAACGATCGATAAATTGATTGCCTGTTTTATTGTGTGGTTGTTCACAAGTCCGATCTCTTTACGTTATGCCATCATATGGATATCAGCAAATTTTGAATGACCATTTTGGAAAATTGTCTAGGGCGTCAGGGACGCAGAAAATTTGCGCTCTGCTTCTTATCCCTTTCAGGCTAAATGTTTTATAACCAATTTGTAACGAAGATCTCTATCAGGAATTTTTGAATTTTTTTCAATATTTTTAATACCCGTTTCAGGCGACATGGCACTCGTGTCGCATCCGGCGACAGCGGCCGCGGTTGGCGCGGCTCCAATGTATGCCGGTAATGTTGTGAAACAGGAGAAGAAGTCTCAAGTCCCGACACCGCATCAAGTACTGGCAATGCAACAACAGCAATTACCCCAGGTATTGATCGGTTTTATTGATCGATTCACTACTTTGTTATGTTTCTCACAGTTCCATAAAGGCCTTGAAACGGGAATTTTCTTAATAGTCAAAGACTGGTTTGCAAGAAGTGCAGAGAAAGACAGCATTTCTCTGTTTTGCAGCGAATTAGTGCTAACTGATAAGGCTTATCAGTAATTATCAATAGGCTAGACGTTCGCTCAAAAGACGAGAATATCTCTTTAGTGGTTCATTAAATGCTATTTATTGCTGATTGCTGTCACTTATTTTTCCTGATTTATTTATATTTTTGTTGAAATTAGTCATAGAGCGGTATCAGCACCCGATCAAGTGATAAGGCACGCGAATATCACGCGATTGTTCATCCGGGCGGCTGCACTCTCCCATTCTTGCATTTCTCATGTGTGATCGTCGCTCTTTATGTTGTGATGGAGACGCCCGGCGCATGCCGCGCTGTGTACTTTACCTACCCTCATCCTCGTGGGCCAGCCGAGAGTCGTTTTCGTTGTCGTCCTGCTGGCTCATCTGCCGTTGACTTTGCTCGGTTTTTCGGAATTCCGGGATGTTTTTTGGGGTTCAGACTTGCTCCCGACCAGATCTGCTTTGATGGTGTTTGAGGTCCCGATGAGGAGTGGATCATATGTTTTCCTCATGGTGATCATTGGTTCCTTCGTGTTGACTGCGCAGTTGCATTCGTTGACTCCGCTCTCTTTCATTGCCTTTCTTGTTTCGTCGGCAGCTTGGGCTCAGGCTTATGGCGCTCCCGATCGGGAGACTGTTCTTAGCCAAAAGGCCGAGAAGCGATTATTGTTCTTGCACTTTTTATCAGCTTTCTATCTCTATTTTCCAGCACTTCTCATGGTCTGTTTGTCTCTCTCTCTCGTCCTGGGCCAGCAGTTGCTGTAGAAGGCTGGGCTCTATTAGGGGGGGGGGGCATGATCTTGACAGTGAACCGTTTCCTCGAACGTCATCATCATACATGTGTACCCAATTTACCTGGTCATTGGCGCTTTGGCAGACTTTCAGCCGACTTCCTCACCGCTGATCACTGCAGTTGGAAAACCTGAGCTCCCCTTTGACTTCCAGTGCAGATTCAGGGTCAGCTCACGTGACTCGTTCCAAATTTCCCGTGCTCACTGAGGAAGTGCGTCTTCAAGGTTCGGCCTCACCCTACTGTTATTGGCCCCTCTTCGAAATGAGGACGATCTACCGGAGTGTGTCAGGATGTCAGCGATTTCCTGAAGCTCATAGCTGGACAAGGTGGAGTGTTTCCCTGCTGGGAGTGCATGCTTTCCCCAGTCCGGAGCAAAGTGACGCTTGGAGAATTCGTTCATTGGTCGACAGCGATTCTTAACACAGTGTTTACCTTCCTGAAACTCCGGTCCGGTTCGGGAGTCCTGTTTCAAAGGAGTCACGAAGGAATAGCGGTGTTCCAGAAAGAAGAGATAGCACAGAAAAGTACCTTTTTTTCCATAGTACTGCAAGATTCCTTTCTTTGTTAGCTTCCCAGAAGCAATGACCGCCTTCGAACTGAACTTTCCTCCGTGAAAGGCGCTTCTACTGGCCCTTGTCGAATATTCGATCATTGCACAAAACAGTGCTCCAGCCCTAGGACTGCACTACAACCACATTTTGTTTCTAACAATTGTCCAGATGTTGTAAAGTAGCGC